AATTCTGAAAAAACCACAATAGGTCTAATTAGCAAAAAAGAAACTTTGCACGTGCAACACACTTTTTTTGTCCAGTTTTTGCCGTTGTCTGCACGACTACAACGTAAAACTTCCAGAAACTTCGTAGTTACACGTTTTATGGAGGAAATGTCGTACGTGTTCTTGTTCACTTTTTTCCAATGCCGCTCATTTTCGCCGTGGTGGCCGGTAGCATTTCTCATTTTCTCACCACCGCTACAACATTTTCATGTTGTTGTTCCAATTCCTTTGTTTTTTATCTCTTGCTCTAGCTCTCTGTTGCTTTTTTCTCGTTGAGCTTCGCTGGCTTGTCGCCTACTTTCTCTTTTTCTCTGTCTTTCTCTTTGTCTATTTTCTAAATTTGTGGACATGAAAATTAATTTAAGCTTCATACTTTAGACATCACGGATACAGAAACAATTTACGCTTTCCGTTTTCTTTACTGACTCTTAAGTCTAAGTTGTCTCTGCTTTACAAGACGCGAGTGGCTATGCGATTTCCGGCCAAAATAACCTCAAGTTGCATTAGGTTACCATACCTGTTATTGAGTTATTTTACTTTGGTATACCTGTGGTACGGACGGACGGGTAAACGTACGGTCAGTGATTACCAAAATTTATCGGATGGGTAGGTTACCACAGTTTCTTTGGTATGGGGTGCAGGGTACGCTTGCGCGCTTGTAAATAATGCATATTGATTTTGAGACTTTTCTTGGTACGTTCTGTATTTCAGATTTTCAAAATAAGTGTTCGTCAACTCCTTAGAACAGATGGATTATTTTCTTGCTTCGACAACTGTTTCTCTTGTCCTCCCTCTAAAAAAAACAAAAATATTTTTATTGAAATTTATAATTTGTAAAACTACGTGCTTTTCAGCTTACCACCTGCACAAATTCATTAACACTAAAGCACAAGACATTTGACCAGTTTCCAAATTAATTGTTTGTTTTGTGCCCAGTCAACTTAGTGACCCTCACGAAAGTTAAAATGGCTAAAAATAATTCAGTACAAAAGTCTGTTAAACGCTTATCTATCCTATGTGTGTCTCAAGACGAATTGCAGGATTAGACTTCGCATTTAAAAAAAGCACACACAAACATGTTAATCTTGAGGTCACGTGGTAAAGGAGCTGTGTCACGTTATCTGCCATCTTTTTAAACGGCTGAAACCTGCCTTCTCAAATATTGCATTCCAAAAATATTGGAATCTTTATACGTTTCTGGGAAACTGCCCACCTACCCCTCCCCTAAACCAACATTACACTTACTTCTCACTTGGGGCAAAATGTTGGTTTAAAAGGGGGGGGGGGGGGGTAAGTGGGCAGTTTTCCAGAGACGTATAGTGATCCAAATATTGGTCCAGTTTTGTTATGTAACACTACTATAATTAGGCACTGAAACTGTCCTCCTGTCGTCTATTGCTACGGATGACTAGGATGGGAATGGATTGCGACTTGGATCAACTTAAGTTTTCAAGTTTCAAAAGGCAACTGAGGCTAATTCTTGCCATTTATATGAAGCTATTTTGAATTGAGATTTTTTCGTACACTGAGTTCAAGTTCTTTTAAATTTTAAACATTTCTGTGGTACCATTGTTATTATAAAGAGCGGAATAGTGATGAAACCCGTCAAACGCCTTTGTTATAACTGTTTTGGACTTGACGACGCACAAAGTTAAATAGCGCTCCTATCATTTTCACTTCACTGACCAACTAAAAAGTAGCATCAATCTATTCCGTCGGAATTTGTGAACAAGGGAAAATAAAAGGATTATTCACCGTCAGGCAGCTCCCAGCATAAAATGCTTTTGAACACCGTAGTCTTTGATCTTTGCCGTCTTTCATAACCTGTCTCCTCTAATAACCTTGTTAGCCATGTAAATATATCAGTCAAGAAAGGAGACAGCACGTGTCCTTGATAAAACTGATCCGTCACGATTAAATATACATCTGGAGCCAGGGTTTCTGTCTGCTTTTACAATTTTAAATTGGAAAAAAGGTTGTAAATTACACAAAAGAACGTTTTGAGCAATAAGAAGCCAGCCTCATACTACGCTATTGATAATAATGGCTATACAAACTTTTAAAAAAGCTTTTACCGCCGAGTAACCCCAATGGGGGCCTTGGAAACTGTGATCAAACAAGTTCCTTTAGCAAAATTAAGGACGGCAGCGGAAAAAGGAAGCTATATACTGATTAGTTAAACTGTTCGTCTTACAAGCGCCACGTTTCTTGGATCAACTGAATAAAAGTGAGAATCTGTCAGATTTTTGAAGCTGTACGTTTTAAATTATTTTGGAAAGCTTTTGGACGGCTCTTGTATACAACTTGGAAACATTTGCTTTAATTCTCATTAATAAATTCGTGAAGGTGTCCCCGTCTCTTTCCTTCTGTCCGGAAAGGAAAGAGAGTAACGGGAAAATACTGCTCTTTCAATTTTTTTTTTAAAAGTTACAAATTTAAATTGTTGATCCTAGCAGCTATG